GCGTGGACGTATTCTGCTTGCGCTCATAGACACGTTTTTGGTGCCTAGTAAGTTGGAGAACGCACCAGTGTATAATCCACGCAAGCTGTTTGAGGAAGAGGAACCGGCAGGTCTTTGCATCACTCTCAGCGAGGCTGGGGTAGCAACGTTGCCAAGCGCAACTGGCATGAACGACAATGACGACGACGACGTGGGTCCTCCTGGCGGAGGCGGCGGTGGAAAGTTTTCTCCACAAAACCGAAGTTCCACACCCAGTGGCGTTATGCAACGGGCAAGCAGCATACCAGTTGGGGCGGCCACATGGTTTACCTCATGGTTTGGTAATCGTCTGTCGAGCAGAAGTGCCGTTTTTACGCATCCATGTGTTCCCCTCATTCCTGCCCTGCTGCACAGACAAGTTTACGCCATTCAGGGGCGTGTGCTCCGCTCACTCGCTCCTGCCTCCGCGCGGACCGCTGTGATGCGCGACGGTGTCGCTTGTCACCGCGCACTACTACCGTTACTTTTTTGCCCTGAGGAATTTGGCACCAACACCGATGAAGTGCTTCGTTCGCTGCAACAGATGCACGCAAACGCTGGTGGCCGAAAACAAAGCTTACCAGCGACCCCCATCTCTCCCGATACCTCGTCCCTCGTACTGGAGACTCGGTGAAGCGACAAAACGTTTTTTTTTTTCTTTTTTCTCTCTCTTTTTTATGTTTTTGCTGGTTTCGTGCGTGTGAGTGGGAGGGCGAGAGGCCGTGTGGCATCCGCATGGGGAGAAGGGAGTGCGTGCCATCGTTGCCGTTGCACGCGCGTGAATCGGGTGAGGGGGGGGGGGGGTAACGTCGATAACAACAAGAATGATTTGAAGGTATACCGTGTGGGGTTATCGCTATCGAGTCTTGCGGTCTCGCTCCTCCAGCAATTGGCATCTCTTCACACACACACCACGGACCCCGTGGCTCTCATAGCTCAGTCGGTTAGAGCGTGGGTCTAATAAGCCCAAGGTCACAGGTTCGACCCCTGTTGGGAGCATTTTTTTATCCAAATCCGTTTTTGTGTGTCATGTGTGGCTTATTTCTCCATTCTCCTCTGCTGTTGCTTGTGTTTCTATCTGCCGGGGGGAAGGGAGGGGGGGAATTGCATTGCATATAGAAGAGGATGTTCCGCCGAACGCATCTTGAGCAGCACCGTAGTGGGAAGGCCCGTGCCTTTGTTTTCCGCGATCCGACGCTAAAGATGATGCGGGCGGGCAGCGGCTATCAGCAGCTGCGGCGCATGGGCATGCCGATTCAGGTAGGGACAGGGTGGCGTAAGGTGGACCACTTTTACGCAAATAATCAGTACCAACACGCCTGGCCGCTCCTGTCGCATGATGATCTAGGAAACAGCGATCAGTCCAATAACACAAAAAACATCATGTACTCAATGTACATGCCGAAGCGTAATAAGGGCACAGCACCGTGGTTTCGTGGCGCCGACACGTATAGTGTAAAGTACTGTGAACAGGGTCGTTACGAGTATCAACGATATTTGATGATTAATCGCTTTCCAAGCGAGTACAAGAAACATTTTTTGAATTTCCTCTCCAACATCCGTTCCAGCTCGGGTCCAGCAAGCATTCCTCAAGAGGCGCTTCATTGGCTGCTTCGCATGATTGTGGACAATTTTAATCCCCAACACGTACATTACATTGCTGCGATGAAGACGCTTCAAGATAGTGGGGAATTGGATATGGCAAGGGATGTATGGAAAATTATGGAACGACAACAAACATGGCCGTGCACCTCCACTATATGCGCCTACCTTGACGTCTGTGTACAGGCTGGAGAAAAAACGTGGGCCATGGAAGCGTGGAACCGATACTGTACAGAGTTAAAATTTCTGCAACCAGGAGAAGTGGATCCGAAGCCCGTGTCACGTGTCCCGTTTTCACTTACACGTGAGGAATTGTTGTATCTACCAAAGTGGAAGAAACATTTTGATCACGATCCTAACCTTGATGTGGTGGACCTCAACCGTTTTAATCGAACACGAGAGGTATACCTACGTATGGCGCAAGTCATGTTGGCAGGAGGGGAACGTGACGCCTTTCAGCATTTTTACACAAAATTAGAGAAGGCCATGTTGTCCACGCCTACACCAGTGCCCGAGCCACCGAATCCACACCTTGTTCGACGACCACGGTGGTCACCCTACGAACACTCTAAGTCCATTCACCATTCCCCATGGCGTGTGGAGAATAATGGGCGTGCCATGGCGCTTGGTCCCACGGTTACAACCGAAGACGAAATGCAGAGTCGTTTCTTTTCCAATGATCAATTTTTGGTGCATATGGTAAAGGAAGTGCTTCGTGTTGTGCTGCAGGAGCATCGACGCCGTCACGTTGAAGTGTGTGTACGTGGTGAGAGTGAATCCTTCTTTGAAAAGGTGGAAGATGCTGGGGACGACGCTTCAGTTTTGTGAGGAATTGGTCGAACGCCTCTTTGCCGTATTGGAGAAAAAACTACACAGCCTGAACACCTCCGCGCTTCTCTCAATGCTGCTTGAGGTGTACCGCGTGGTGGGTAAGGAGACTGGGATGGAGCTGCTTCGGCGCGCCAACCAGTTTGTGGAACGGAAGGCCGCCTTAGACGATGGCGCAAAAGAATCCCTTACGGCCCCAAACTATTTGCAGGTCTTGATGGGATTCGCCGATGATAGTGCCTGTGTGTACGACAGCAAGAGAAAAGGCCCATGTCGCTACCGGAGTGGGTTTGATCCTCGCACCACAATGCAGCAACTGGCGGCTGTGGTGCAGGAAATTGCGGGAAATCCGCACGTCACATGGGCTGCAGACATGCACCTGCAAGTGGTGTGCACGATGGTTGGATGTGGAACCATGAAGGCAAACGATTACTTTGTGCAAAACGTACTTCGGCAATTTCGTTGGGACAGCCGTTTCCTTGAGGCGCTCTACATGGAATATCGCCGACACGACGATGTTGATATGTGGGCAGAGCTGACGAAGCGTGCCCTGGTATGGACTGCCCGGTACGATGTGCCGGCGTCAGAGCGCCTGAAACGTCTCATTGAGGACGACTATGACACCATTCAGGTGCAGACACGCACGTTCCGCGAGTTGGCGGTCTTCCAGTTTCGTGATGTGGAGGAGAAGCGTCACAGTCGCGATGTGGTCAATGAGCTTCCAAATCCGTGGACGGATTACGTTTCCCACGCCCTACCGTTCCCGGACCGCGATGCTGGCTACCCGGACGAGTACGGCGACCTTGGCCAGTGGCGTGCGCCTGGTGGTCCAGGCTCACCTGTGAAGGGGCCTGGCTATTACGCACCCCCAATGAATGGAGAACACCAACGCGGCTACACCGCAGAGTGGCGTGACTTGAAAAATCCGATGCGCCCACCCGAGTTCCCCACGCCGTGGGAGCGGAAGTACAAGCAATACGCCCGTGGGCAGCATCCCTCCTACGACATGGTATACGCGGGGCCGATGCCAGAAATATTCCCCACCCGACACAACTTCCGAAAACCGACGAGGTGGGACTACCACGACATTGAGAAACAGGGGAAGTACAAGACCAGTGGCCCGTACTAACGCAATGGGTTTTACTCACATGTTTTTTTTTGTTTTTCCTATTCCTTTTTATTTATTTCTGTTTCATTTCTGCCTTGCTTCTTGCGCATCTTCGTTACAACAGCAACAACAGCGCGAGAAGGGAGAGAAGAACATCCAGAAGGAATGCGGGAAGATGTTGTTGGAATAGTCGTCCTAGCATTGAGGTGATGGGAGGGAACCCGCCTTGGCAGCATCTCTCTTTGTCTCTTGGTGTGTGTATGTGTGTGTACTGGTCAGCAATTGGCTTTTTTTCTCTACTTCTTTTTTTCTGGATTTGGTCTTTCATTTTTCGTGCGTACACATGTTGTCAGCGGCCAAGCGGGGATAACTAAAGAAAAACGGGTGGTAAGTGAAGAACGCCAGGCCTGCCATGTCAAACGCATTGCGTGCGACGCTGGTGAAGTATGAGACGCCTGTACTGCTCTCTGAGGTGAAGCGTCGAAAGGCGATAAAAGAGAAAAAAAAGGAGACACTTGGGCCGAAGATCGTCCCGCAGCCTGAGGATGTCTTGTACAGCATTATTCCCCCACGCGAATACGAGGAGGGTGGTGAGCGCTGGGTGCAGTTCGTCTCCAGTACTCCCGCCACAAGATTAGATGTAATTAACCTACAAGAACGTCTGGATGCTCTTCTTCAGGAGCGGCGAGCGCGGGAAACGGGGATTTGCCCGGTGCGTGAGGAACTTTATCGCCAGGTCTTTGAGGAGCTCATTCGCCAAGTAACCGTGAACTGTGCGGAGCGTGGGCTTCTTCTCCTTCGGGTACGAGATGAACTTCGCATGACGTTTGACGCCTACCGTTCGCTCTACGAGAGCAGCGCCGCCTACGGTATGCGTAAGGCGCTTCAAGCGGAGCAGAGCAAGATAGAGATGGAGGCGAAGATTCGCGCCTTGGAGCGAGAGAGGGAGGACCTGAAGCAAAAGGTGGATGAGTTAGAGGCCCGATGTGATGCCATACGGGAGCAGGAGGAGGAGCGTCGCTTGGAGGAGGAAAAGAAGCACAACGAAGAAGTTTCCTTTTTCCGTCGCACCTACGAAACACTTACGGCAAACCTGCAGACGGTTTGCAACCCGACAAGGGCATCAACGTGAGTTTCTTTGAAAGACGGGATCGAAAGAGGGTGAGAGGGAGGTCGAACAGGAGGAGGGGGGAGGGAAGTAATGAAGGCGACATGGAACAATGCAACGTGGCACCTCTCTCTCTCTCTCTCTCTCTCTCTCTC